TCCCAAAGTGCTGGGATTACAGGCTTGAGCTACCGCGCCCGGCCAAATTTAATTGTTTAAAATAAAATATATTTATTATCTTGCAATTCTGGAGTCAGACATCTCACATGGGCCATAGTGGGCTAAAAATCAAGATGTCAGCTGAGCCCAGTGGCTCATGCCTATAACCCCAGTGCTTTGAGAGGCCTAGGCAGGAATATACATGAGCCCAGGAGTTTAAGGCCAGCCGGGGCAACATAGTGAGACCCCCATCCCTACAAAAACCAAATTTTAACTAGCTAGGTGTGGTGGCATGCACCTGTGGTCCCAGCTACTTCAGAGGCTGAGATGGGAGGATCGCTTGAGTCCAGGAATTCAAGGTTGCAGTAAGCGATGACCATGTCACTGCACTCCAGCCTGGGTGACAGAGGGAGAACAAGTATCAAAAAAAAAAAAAAGACATAAATAAAGAAAAGTACATATGTAATGTTAGTTAAACAGATGAGTTGATTAGACACATTTATTTATTTATTTTTGCTTAAGACAGAATCTCACTCTTGTTGCCCAGGCTGGAATGCAAGGGCATGACCATGGCACCCTGCAGCCTCGACTCACTGGGCTCCAGCGATCCTCCCACCTTGCTAACTACAGGTGGTCACCACCTTGCCCAGCTAATTTTTTGTATTTTTAGTAGAGATGGGGTTTCACCACATTATCCAGGTTGCTCTTGAACTCCTGGACTCAAGTGATCTGCCCGCCTCGGCCTCCCAAAGTCCTGGGATTACAGGTATGAGCCGCCACATCTGGCCTGTGTATTTATTTTTGAGATGAAGTATGGCAATGTGACCCAGGCTGGACTTGAACTGTGGACTTAAACTACCATCCCAATTAAGCCTCCTGAGTCGTTGGGACTATATAGGCTTGTATCACCACACCCAGAATATTATTAAACACTTCCTAGATCCAGGTGCTTTTTCAACTCTGGTGTGACAAAGATATGAGCTCACAATTATTATGGCATCCAGCCAAACAGCAAGGATACAAAATGAATATGGGAAGCTGTCTCCCCAAACCATTGTCTTGTTTTGTCTTATGAATATAGCATTTCTGATTCTTAATTCATTCACAGACCACTTTCACTATATTGCCACTGCAAATACCACCTGTACTGTGTCAAATACAAAAAAAAAATCCAGACTTGGTAAGGAGTCACTTAACAGAAAAGGATTATTAAAAGGGGAAGGGGAAGGGGAAGGGGTGCTGTCATAGGAAGAGGCAGACTATACTCCTGCTGTGAATCTGCCAGCATCTCAAATGTTGGGTAGAAAGGGGTTTTTCTTCTACAGGGAAGAGTGACTAAAGCTAGGAAGAATGAAGTGTGGGCAAATGGGAGGAGCCACACGAAGGGCGGGGTGGGAGGTGGAGTCAATGAAGTAATCAGAGAAAGCTTTACCTGGTGGCCAGCTTGTTCTCAGGAGGGGTTGTCTGCTGCCTCAGGTTGAGGGTGGGTTCAGGTTCACGGTCCTGGGATCCTGGGAGGAAGAGAGTTTGGTTAACAAGCACTCCGTTTTGATGCATCAGTGAGTACGTCGGTCAGCCTAATCATTTGTGGGGCAATGAGTGGGGATTTGGAAGGTCTGTGTGTGGCCTTGTGTCAGGTCAACCAGGGGACATCCTCAAGCCTTCTCTAAGTCATATGAGGAAGTGAAGTTCTTTGCTGTGTCAACTGATATGAAGGCTGTTAAGGCAGACATAATTTTATAAATGTTTTGTAAATCAAAGAGTATCTGAAACAAGTCTCAATCAATTTGGGAAGTTTATTTTGCCAAGGTTGAGGACGCACCCGTGACACAGTCTCAGGAGGTCCTGGTGACATGTGGCCAAGGTGGTCAGGGCACAGGAGACACTGGACACCAATCAGTACATGTGAAATGTACATCGGTACAGTCTGGAAAGGCGGGACCACTTGAAGCGAGGAGGGGCTTCCAGGCATATACATAATAGATAGGTAAGAGACAAAGGATTGTATCCTTTTGAGTTTCTGCTTAGCCTTTCCAAAGGAAGTAGATGTGCATTTACCTCCGCAGAGGGATGACTTTGAGTTCTGCCTGCCTTTGTCCAAACTGTGAGGAAGGTATGTAGTTTTTTGTTTTTATTTTAAATCTTAGTAGCTATTTTTTTGGAATAGAGTGGGAGGCACGATGAGATTTGAGGAACTCAGCGCAAAGATATTTTACTCAGGGACAGGATGTCAGCCACAAATCATAAGACCTTCTCCAGGTGGTTAATTTGGACCAGTAGGTCATCAGCTGGAAGCCATTTCCAGGACACAAAGGGTAGGAGGATTGTTTTAATTCACACTCACAGGGATCAGGTAGAAGTCACCATTGTCAACCAGTACACTTGATGTTCTTCCTTTTAATAACTGTAATCAGGTTCTTTAAAGAAAGTTTCAGATTGCTCATACAAAAGGACAACTGGTAGCATTTGCCATAAAGAAAGGGGGCCTGACGATGGACTCAAAGAAAACGAAGCAATGCTATTAAACTGTAGACACTGGAGTCCAGCTGGGGTTATGAGTTTGTCTTCATTAAATAATGGAGATTAGCAAGTGTCAAAGAAGCCATGAAGACATCCTAGCACTGAGAGGGTCCACTGTGTGACCTAATCGGAAGAGCTGAAGAAAAGAACAACTTTGCAGTATATGATTTAATGTTTTTAATGCTACACCCATTCACCAACTAAAATTATCTCATTAATTCCCCACTTTGGGAATCCCAAATAATCCATTAGGATGCCAGTGGAAATTTTCCCATCAGTTTTTTAAAAAGTGAACTTCAGTTTTTAGAATAGCTTTACACATTCAGAAAAATTGGTAAAATAATACAGAGAGTTCTCATAAACTCTGCATTCAGTTTCTTCTATTACTAATATTTTGTTAATGTATTTGTTGGGTACACGTTATAATGAATGAATCAATGTAGCTATGTTACTAGGTAAAGCCCAAGCTTTCTTCAGATTTCCTCCGTTTTAACCTAATGTCTTTTTGCTGTTCCAGGACATCGATTGAGGATGCCTCCTTACACCCAGCTGTCCTGCCTTCTTAGTCTCTCCTTGACTGACAGTTTCTCAGACTTTCTTGTTTTTGATTACCTTCATGGTTTTGAGGTGTTGTGGTATTTTGTAAAATATCCTTCAACCAAGGTTTGTTCGATGATTTTCTTTTTTTAAATAGAGATAAGATCTTGCTACGTTGCCCAGGCTGGTCTGGAACTCCTGGGTTCAAGTGATCCTCTGGCCTCAGCTTCCCAAAGTGCTGGGATTACAGGCATGAGCCACTTTGCCCAATCTGCCTGATGATTTTCTCATGGTTAGACTAGAGTTTGGGATGGGGGATAGTTTGGGGTTGGAAGATCACAGAGGTAAAGAGCCCTTCTCAGCACTTCATTATCAAGGGTTCAAACTGTCAATTGACTTCTCATTGTTGATGCTGGCCTTGGTCACCTGATGATTGTCAGGTTTGTCCACTACACAGTGACTCTGTCCCCCTTTCCACACTGTATAGTTGGAGAGGCAGTCACTATGCACAATCCACACCTAAGGGCGCAGTGTTACGCTCCCACTCCTCAAGGGCAGATCATCTATGTAAAGACGGAATAAATAAACTCCCCATTTATTTATCCAATCGTTTGTTTATAACAATACAAACTCCCTCTTGACTTTTAAATGCCCAGGCAGCCCTCTGCATCCAGCCTCCCTTGTCTGTTTTTGTTTTTTGTTTTTTGATATATGTATGAGTCCATTTTCACACTGCTATAAAGATATTACCTGAGACTGGGTAATTTATAAATAAAGGAGGTTTAATTAACACAGATCCGCATGTCTGGGGAGGCCTCAAGAAAGTTACAGTCATGGTGGAAGGAGAAGCAGGCACCTTCTTCACAGGCAGCAAGACAGAGAGACAAAGGAGGAAATTCCAAACACTTACAAAACCATCAGACCTTGCAAGAACTCATTATCACCACAACAGCACGGGGGAAACCACCCCCGTGATCCAATCACCTGCCCTGCTTAATGCTTGGGGATTACAGGATCCTCCCTCAAAACATAAGGGTTATAAACTGAGATGAGATTTGGGTGGGACACGAGCCAAACTCTATCAATATAGGTTCTTGCTCTGTCACCCAGGCTAGAGTACAGTGGCATAATCAAGGGCTTAGTGCAGTCTCCGCCTCCAGGGCTCAATCTTTCCACCTCAGCCTCCAGAGTAGCTGGGACTACAGGCAACATGCCACCATACCCAGCTAATTTTTGTATTTTTTATAGAGATGAGGTTTTGCCATGTTGCCCAGGCTGGTCTGGAACGCTAGGGCTCAAGTGATCCCCCTGTCCTGGCCTCCCGAAGTGCTGGTTTGACAGGCCTGAGGCCCGGCGCCCAGCCAAAGTGTGTGTGTGTGCCTTCTCCCCTGACCACTTCATCTACTCTCACAACTGCAATGACAGCAACAGGGCAAGACCCCCAACATTTCCCCAGCAGCCTAAAGCTCCTCTGTTCTTTGGGCTTGCATGTTCAGCTGCCTCTGCTGTGGCTACCCTTACACTCTGCATGTTCCACACTGAACTCCTGCTGCAATTCTCCTTCCTCCCCAAGACATCGCCCCTGTGTTCATGCAGAAACCTGGAAGTTTGCCTCCCAGCTTGCCACCCAAATACTTCCCAAATCTCTGTACCTCTCTTCACCCAAGCTGTTGCTTCCAAACTGCTTCACGCTAGACTCTCACCTGTCCTAGCTCAGTGGCCTTGAAACTCACCTTAAATCCCCCAGCGCTGCCGTCTCCCCAGCGTCCCACTGTCTTTTCCCTTGAACTCCACTGTCGCTCCCTGCACCCCAGTATCCTTCTCCTGTATCCCGTTTTTCCCTCCTCTACACCCCACTGCAGCAGAGCCACCTTTAAAAATACAAACCTTGGCCAACAAGGTGGCTCACGCCTGTAATCCCAGCACTTTAGGAGGTTGATGCCAGGAGTTCAAGACCAGCCTGGGCAACATAGTGAAAACTTGTCTTTACAAAAACTAAATTTAAAAACTATACAGGCATGGTGGAGTTTGCCTGTAGCCCCAGCTACTTGGGAGGCTGAGGTAGGAGGAGAGCTTGAGCCCAGGAGTTTAAGGCTGCAATGAGCTATGATGGTGCCACTGCACTCCAGCCTGGACGACAGAGTGAGACCCTGTCTCAAAAAATAAATGAAGTAAAAATACAAACCTGGTTACGCTACCTCCCTGCTGTGATAGGCTCTCAAGGTTCATTCCAACAAGATCTGCTGCCACTCGGTCCCGTGTTCCCAGAGCTTCCTGGGTCCTCCTGAAGTCCGGCCAGCCATGGACAGCCCTGCCTGCTCCCTTTCCTGTGCTGCCTTTTTTTCATCTTCCACATCTTCCTTTCAAAGTTACTTCTCTTGGAAGGCTTCTCTGACCCTACAGACTACAGGAAAATTCTGTTACATTCTCTATGTATTCCTAATCTGTAACCCTTATCGCAGCGGCTATATAAAAATCATTTATGAGAGTTCATTACTTTATGGCTTTAATTACTCTGTTAGTATATAGCAGCTCCGCACACTCTGAAATGCCCAGACTCTACACAGGCTGCCTGAATTGAAACCTTGGGTCTGCTGTGTATCCCTAGCAACTTCCTCTACCACTCTATGCTCCGTCTGTAAACTGGGCATAATGACTGTGCCTCCTTTGCAGGGTGATCATGAAGATTCAGTGAGCTGCTATGTGCCAAGCTTGTCCAAGAGGGCCTGACATTTCAGCAGCTGCCATGGGAGGTAAATGGTGAATACTGCAAGTCTGTTCTTCCGAGTCATAGGAAGACTCCTGAGTCTTTTTCTGCTGGCCTGGTCATCATCTACCAGAGGGAGGGCAGTTTGAGGCAAGATAAAATCTTGAAGAAAAAGCATCACTGGACACTCTGGCCCTCACCCCTTCACACCCCAGCTCAGGTTAAGGGCTTGCAGGCACAGCTGCACCTTTGCCTGGGCAGCCCCAGGGCACTGCCCTAGAAACACCTCTATAGACTCCTAGGAAATTGGTCAGAGCCACGCAACCGTGGTGAGACTGGAGTCTGGGCAGGGCTCACCCCTGGGTCTCCCCACAGCACTTGCAGGCCTCTCTAGAAAACAGATAGGCAGACTGGAGATTGGAATGGGGAGCTGAATACCCCTAAGTTAGTGGTGCAAGAGTGTTTCCATGACTTATGCTGGGAAGTCAGTTCATTATCAATACAAAGAGGGAGCAGGATGCACCGCCCCATGCAGACCTGGACCCTCCCGGAGCCTCTGCTGCAGCACGCTTGGAGTTAACCAGTCCCAAAAGTGATGCTTTGGGGTTGCAAAGAGAGATGCCCCTCTGAGGAGACAGGAGGGGGTGTGAGGGTCACAGGGCAGCAGAGCCACAGTGTCCTGGACTTTCCTGCGCCCCTTTCCAGTGGGGCTGGTGGCTGCGATGGCTGACTGGGCAAAGGAGAGGGCACAGGTGGCAAGCGTGGCTCCCAGGCATTTCCAGGTGAGGGAAGTCCTCCTCTCCTGAAGTCCCTTCTCCCCACCCCATTTCAACAGACCAGGCTCTTCTTATTAAAAACCATCGTTTTCTTCTCTGGATGTGTCCTGACTTCACTATTACTGCCAGGCCTGAGGCTCAGCAGACGTCCAATCTTCAGCCACGCCCTGAGATCAAGCACAGCCTGGGGAAGGCCCAACCACTAGAGCAGCTCCAGGCCCCACCTTCCCTTGGGGCTTAGTGAGGGGGCCCAGGCAGGTAGGAACCACCCAGCTTCAGCCAGGCCTTCCTCCTAAACTTCTTCCATCCAGCCATAAGATGAGGAAAAGTAATTCGCTTCTTCCCGCTTAAAATCCAGCTGAGAAAAATCTCACCCCCTCCATCCTGACAAAAACAATGACATTACTCACCCATTCAGTATTCTCAGAGTGTCCTGTCCTCACAGGAAGGCGGCTGCATCTCTCGGGTTTATTCCTTCTCCAGCTTGAAGCCACCCCGAGGACTGTGCAGCTTCGCCACGGCTCTGCTGAAGTCTGAGGGCAAGGCACTTAGAGTCCTTGTGCCTGCGTCCTCGCCGGCCGTGGCGACGGCAGGAATGAGGCTGCAGGAAACTGGGTACAGCCCAAACCCTGTCTGTGACCTCAGAGAAAACGTTTAACCAAGTTGTCCTCAATGGCCAAAGGAGGGCTCTGGACAGCTAATTGTGTCTCTTTCAGCTTTAGCACTCTGGATTCTTTTTTGTTTTTAGACAAGGTCTTACTGTCACACAGGCTGGAGTACAGTGGCATGGTCAAGGTTCACTGCAGCCTTGACCTCCCTGGCTCAGGTTAGCCTCCTGCCCGAGCCTCCTGAGTAGCTGGAACCACAGGTGCACACCACCACGCCTGGCTGATTTTTGTATTTTTTGTGGAAATAGGATTTTGCCATGTTGCCCAGGCTGGTCTCAAATTCCTGTGCTCAAGTGATTAGCCTGCCTTGGCCTCCCAAAGTGCTGGGATTACAGGTATGAGCCACCACACCTGGTAACACTCAAGATTTTTACTGAATGTGAGCCAGTAGTTGACTTTCAAATACATTTTAAAACATTTTTCTTCCCTCCTTTCTTTCCAGTCTCAAGATATAACCTTGAAACAAACTAAAAACTTTTTTCCTTAGTCTTAAAATATAACCTTGAAATGTACTCTGAAACTCCAGTCCCTTCCCTTTTCCACTGTATACTTCTTTATCCCATGCACCTTTATCTAACCATATGCTTGTTAAAAAATTCCAGGGATGAAAACACACCAGGCATGCAGGTCCAGCTGTGAAATTCTCCGCGACTTACAGATTGCCTCAAGATGGATAATCTATTGCCTGATTGTAAGCAGCATATAAAGGCTCCGGCTGCTCACCGCTTGTGGAAAGAAGCCAAAATAATGAGTTGGCCCAGCATTATGGCTCACGTCTGTAATCCCAGCACTTTGTGAGGCTAAGGTGGGCAGATCACTTGAGGTCAGGGGTTCGAGACCAGCCTGGCCAACATAGCAAAACCCCATCTTTACTAAAAAATACAAAAATTAGCTGGGCATGGTGGCATATGCTTGTAATCCCAGCTACCAGGGAGGCTGAGGTATGAGAATTGCTTGAACCCAGGAGGCGGAGGCTGCAGCGAGCTCAGATTGTGCCACTGCACTCCAGTCTGGGGCACAGGGCACGATCCTGTCTCATAAATACATAAATAAAATGAAGTTATTATAGCTTGAGACTAGGGGGGTTGAGGACGAAAAGGAAAAGGAAAAAAGAGTTTTAAAACGTGGTTTGAGGCTTGGCTGCTAAGCTGCTCAGTTTCATGGCCATGGCAGCTGTGAAGATGGTGCCAGCCTGTGCTCAAGGTAGGCATCACAGAAGACACAGCCCTGCACCCTGAACAACTCCAGCATGCCTTTCACATCAGGCTTCCCTTCCTTAAGCCCCTTCCTCAGCCCAAACTTTAAAAATGGTTTCTTTAAGGCCTTGGCATTTCCCATCTGCTAGCATTTCATCAATAAAGCTGCTTTCCTCTTACCGCACCTTGCTTCTTGTGAGCAGCTGAACTTGAGTTGGTTACATGAAGATAACTATTTCCTGAGGTTGTGTCACTTTACTGTGGAAACCAGAACATGGAGGGCAGCTTTGGTTTCCTGGAGTGGAAGAACACGATTGATTACCTGATTTTGAGATTTAAATCCTCCCTTAAAAGAACAGTAGTGGTCTGAATGGGGCACCCCCATGAAGATCTTTCCCCTGGGACCTGTGATGTGACCTTATTTGGAAAAAGGGTGTTTGCAGGATACCTAGTTGATACCAGAGACTGGCGTCTAGGCAGTGGGGGCTCTCCCCAGCACCTGAACATGCTGGTTTCCAAGCACCCACTTGGAAGGAAGTTCTGTTTTGGGAGGGCGGAAGTGATGGGGTGCAGCTCTGTCCAATACACATCAAACTCATTTTGCAGGACCAGCTTGTCTGAGACACAGTCAAAGAGGTCTCTGCCCTTGGTGGTCAACAGCGGAGAGAGTGGTGAGAAAGGAATGCACTGGAAATCACCTGACCTCTTCTTCTCAACTGTAATGCAGGTCTGCATTTACCATCTCTGAGCCCCAACACTGCACACCTGGCTGTTACTGAATCTAACTGGCATCCACTCATCCAGCGCAGTCAGGCCAAATATCCACACTGAGATTTATGTCAGGAGAAAGGAAGGTGTTTATTTGCAGGATGCCAAGCAAGGAGAATCAGGCAGCTCACACTGAGTATCTTTCTTCCACAGTGCCTTGCAAGTAAGGGTTTTTAAAGGCGAGGTGGCTGGTGCAAAGGTAATGAGTTACCTGGACTGCTCAGTCAGTTACACATCAAATGCCTTGTTCTACTCATCCCCCGCTTCTCACTACTGCATTTGACTAGTCATTTAAAAAAGAAAAGAAAAAAAAGGAGAAACATAAAGGCAGGGGTAAATTTTAGGCAAGCAGAAATTACAGGCAAATTCGTGAATCAATACATTGAAATGATATCTTGGTTTAGCCTCAAAAGGGTACAATACTTTGAAGCGGAGGCTTACAGGTCATAGGTGGAATTCACAGATTTTCTGATTTGTAATAGGTTACAGAAGAGCAGCTTGGTTTAAAATTCAGGACCAGCAGAAGAGAATGTCAGGTCTGGCCCTTGGGAATGACTTCCTCCAGGCCTGTGAGGAGGAAATTTAAGACAACACCAGTCAGAGTTTAGTCCTCAGGCCTCCTTACCTTATTTGAGGTTTCTGTGCCAGTGAATCCTTGCCCAGCAAGGAGCATGCCTTTGATATGCGAACTAACCCATCCAGACCCAAACCTCCAGCATCTGACCTGACACCCTGGGAGGCAACGTTCCTCTGCCTTAAGCATCCCAGAGGCCGGTGCCAGGCAATTAGGAACCATCTCTGTAACCCAAAGCCCACAGAAATTTTCCATACTAATCAATCCTAAACTATTCACTTTGCCCTGCCTTGACTCTGTCCAAGGAAACCCCAAAAAGACAGTGGCCCAAACCTTCTCCTTGCTTGTGTCTTCTGCCTCCTGCCACCTGGTGTCTTTCCTGTGTGGCCCTATACGGCCTGCTGGGCCTCCTGTCTCTAGGACCTGTAAGCAGAATAAACTTTGTCTTTTCCTAAGACTCTCCTTTGTCTTCTCTTGTGGCTACACTTGACTGATCACATAAAAAAAGTACAAAACAGCAGGTATCCAACCTCACTATGTTTTGACAAGGTGTAGCAAAACCAGTAAAATGGGCCAGGATAGATGCAAACAGCAAGGCATTTTTTTAAAGCAGGTGATGGGGAAAGGGTGGTTCTCCTGCCAGTTGGTTGTATGATTAGAAGACAGCACTTTGTCATGGTTATCGCCTGCCTGTGATATTCTTGGCTGTGGCCAAGATGTGTGAGGTAATCCCACTTGCATGTATTCCTGAGGAATCTGCTTTCCCATACGTTCTTAAGAATTTTGCATATGCTCACAGGGAATTTCTATGGCTTCTCTGTACTTTGGTGATTATATGTACATTAATCATGGTGACCTGGTTATAGGCTATGGTTTCAAGAGAAGATAAAGTTCCCAAATGGTATTTGACGGGCAAAACAGGTATAAATGGGCCCCATAGGCTTTGCCCTTGATGAGCTCCTGATCCCTCCTGACCCTCCCCTAGATGCTGGGCTACTGAAATTCTGCTGGCTGCCCTCTATATGGGTCTGGGCTGCTGGAAGTACCTGGTCTTCCAGTGGTCCTCTCAACAGTCCTTTTCCTGTGGCCAGTCTGCCCTAAGCAAGTTTTCTAACCTCTAGCCTTGTTGCATGAAATACTAGTGGGCACTGACCGTCACTTTTAAGACCAAACAGTATCAGTGTTTGTTGCTAATACTAAGTGTTTCTGGAGGCTGCGTGTGGTGGCTCACAGTTATAGTCCCAGCACTTTGGGAGGCCGTGGTGGGAGGAACTCAGAAGTTTAGGACCAGCCTGCACAAAATAGTTGACCCCCGACTCTCAGGAAAAAAAAAATGAGCTTGTTTGAGGAAATTTCTGAAGTGCTATAATCATCACTGAACCGCCCACATAACTCTGCTAGCAGAAGTACTTGTGTCTGGTCCAAACTCTGCTTTTGGCAGAGGAAGGGAAACCATCTCACAGAAGAGTCACTTGGACAAGATCTCTGCCTTCTCTTTCCTTTGTGCCACAGTATGATTTAGGACTGATAGGGACCTCCCACCAGTGGCCTCGTCTTTTTTTTTTTTTT